AGAAGATTCAAATAAATAAAATCAGAAATGAAAGAGGAGAAATTACAATAGACACCACAGAAATACAAAGGATTCTAAGAGAATACTATGAAAAGCTATATGTCAACAAACTGGATAACCTAGAAGAAATAAATTCTTAGAATCATACAACCTCCCAAAACTGAATCAAGAAGAAACAGAGAATCTGAATAGACCAATCACAAGCAAAGAGATTGAAACAGTAGTCAAAAACCTCCCAGAAAACAAAAGTCCAAGACCAGATGGCTTCTCTGGTGAATTTCACCAAACATTCAAAGAAGATTTAATACCCATCCTTCTCAAACTATTCCAAAAAACTGAAGAGGATGGGATGCTTCCTAATTCATTTTCTGAGGCCAACATTACTCTGATACCAAAACCAGAGAAGGATAACACAAAAAAGGAAAATTACAGGCCACTATCACTGATGAACATAGATGCAAAAGTCCTCAACAAAATATTAGCAAATTGACTACAACAACACATTAAAAGGATTACACAACATGATCAAGTGGGATTTATTCCAGGGATGCAGGGATAGTTCAACATCTGTAAATCAATCAATGTGATACACCACATTAACAAAATGAATAATAAAAATCACATGATCATCTCAATAGATGCAGAGAAAGCATCTGACAAGCTTCAACACCGGTTTTTGATAAAAACTCTAAACAAAATGGGTTTTGATAAAACTCAAAACAAAATGTTGAAGGAAAGTACCTTAACATAATAAAGGCCATATATGACAAACCCACAGCCAATATCATACTCAATGGAGAAAAACTGAAAGCCATTTGTCAGAGAACAGGAACAAGACAGGTATGCCCACTCTCACCACTCTTATTCAACACAGTACTAGAAGTCTTAGCCAGAGCAATTAGGCAAGAAAAAGAAATAAATGGGATCCAAATTGGAAAGGAAGAAGTGAAACTCACTATTTGTGTATGACATGATTCTATATATAGAAAACCCTAGAGAATCCACCAAAAACCTTTTAGAAATAATAAAAAAATACTGTAAAGTTGCAGGGTACAAAAATCAACATACAAAAATCAGTTGCATTTCTATACACTAATAAGGAACCAGCAGTAAGAGAAGTCAAGAGTTCAATCCCATTTACAGTTGCAACAAAAAGAATAAAATACCTAGGAATAAATTTAATCAAGGAGGTGAAAGACCTATACACTGAAAACTATAAGACATTATTGAAAGAAATCAAAGAAGACATAAGAAATGGAAAGATATTCCATGCTCATGATTGGAAGAATAAACATAGTTAAAATGTCCATATTATCTACAGCAATCTACAGATTCAGTGCAATCCCAATCAGAATGCCAACAATATTCTTCATGGAAATAGAACAAAGAATCCTAACATTTATATGGAACAACAAAAGACCCTGAATAGCCAAAACAATCCTAAGAAAAAGGAACAAAGTTGGAGGTATCACATTCCCTGAATTCAAATTATACTATAGTAATCAAAACAGCATGGTACTGGCACAGCAACAGACACACAGATCAATGGAACAGAATAGAGAGCCCAGAAATAATCTATGGACAGGTAATCTTGGACAAAGGAGCGAAGAACACACAATGGAGAAAGGAAAGTCTTTTCAACAAATGCCGTTGGGAAAAGTGGACAGCCACATGCAAAAGAATGAAAGTAGACCATTATCCTACACCATACACAAAAATTAACTCAAAATGGATTAAAGACTTGAATGTAAGACCTGAAACCATAAAATTCTTAGAAGAAAATATAGGCAGTATACTCTGACATTGGTCTTAGCAGCATATTTTCAAGTACCACGTCTACTCAGGCAAGGGAGACAAAAGAAAAAATAAACAAATGGGACTACATCAGATTAAAAAGCTTCTGCAAAGCAAAGGAAATCATCAACAAAATGAAAAGACAACCCATCAACGGGGAGAAAATATTTGCAAATCATATATCTGACAAGCGGTTAATTTCCAAAACATATAAAGAACTCATACAACTCAACAACAAAAACATGAACAACCTGATCAAAAAAAGGGCAGAGGATATGAACAGACATTTTTCCAAAGATATACAGATGGCCAACAGGCACGTGGAAAGATGTTCAACATCACTAATTATTAGTGAAATGCAAATGAAAACTACAATGAGATATCACTCATACCCATCAGAATGGCTATAATTAACAACACAAAAAATAACAAGTGTTGGAGAGGATGTGGAGAAAAGGGAACCCTCATACACTGCTGGTGGGAATGCAAACTGGTGCAGCCACTATGGAAAACAGTATTGAAATTTCTCAAAAAACTAAGAACAGAAATACCATACGATCCAGCTATCTCTCCACTGGGTATTTATTCAAAGAATATCAAATGAACGATTCAAAAAGATTTACGCACCCCTACGTTCATCGCAGCATTATTTGCAATAGCCAAGATGTGGAAACAATCGAAGTGCCCATCAACGGATGAGTGGATAAAGAAAATGTGGTATATATATGCAATGGAATAATAGCCATAAAAAAGGGACAAAATCGTGCCATTTGTGACAACATGGATGGACCGTGAAGGTATTATGCTAAGTGAAATAAAGTCAGACAGAGAAAGACAAATACTGTATGATTTCACTCATATGTAGAAGATAAACAAACACATAGATAAAGAGAACAGGTTAGTGGTTACTAGGGAAAAAGGTGGGTGGAGGGTATAAGAGGTAAAAGGGCACATACGTATGGTGACAGATCAAAACTAGACTTTTGGTGGTGAACACAATCCAATCTATACTGAAACTGGAATATAATAACGTACACTTGAAATTTACACAATGTTAAGCGCCAATATGACCTCAATAAAAAAAAATGATACTACCACATATTTCCAACAATCAACATTTAATCCACAATCAGTAGTAAATATGTTCCAATGTATTTTATCTCCAAATCTATATGATTAGTTAATAGTACATATAACTCATTTTTAGCACCCAGTTAGGCCTGGTAGGGGACTACACATCACTTTTTAAAAGATTTTTTTTTCTTTTCTTTTTTCATATTTATATATTT